AAAAAAAAAAAAAAAAAAAAAAAAAAACAAAAAAAAACAAAACTACTTTATAGCACTATAAAGATTAAATGACATAATAAAAGCCATTTGTGTACTATAAAATATAAGATACATACATATTTTTAAACTACCCATAGAGCTTTTAAACTTGTATTCTACTAACTTAAAATTTTTCATCTAAGTACTTTCAAAATTCATTCTTAATTTTTACCTTTTGATATCCTTCTTCATTTGTACTTAAGAGCTGCATGCAACATTTATCCCTCCCAGTTGGTTCCCTATTTTGACCGATGATAAATTCTATTTAAGCAACATTTTATCTTTTATATTACATAGCAAAATTCAACAGATATGAACAACTCAACTTGGAATCCTTAAAAAAGCATCAGAATGCAGATTTTCATTTTATTTTATTTCACTCAGATGACATTTTGTAATAAAAAATATGGGTACATGTAGAAAATAATTTGAAAGGATAACTTAATTATTTTGTATACTTCAGTAACTGTTAAAGACTTTTTTGTAGACTTTCTTGGTTTTTTGGCCTATTTTGTTTTGTTAACCTTCAATACTAAATCATTGCATGCTAAACATAAAATTGCAGTCACGTATTTGTTATCAAATATTTGATATATGTTTTTGAAGACTATACTAAAGATATACAAGAGAGACATTTTATTTCTTAATATCATATTTTTGGCCATTAGTTAAAAGTGTTCCTATGTTACTAGACAGTAATTCAAAAGCAACCCAAAAGAATATTAGCTAAAACCTTTAAAATACCATCAGTGGTTTTCAAAAACAATTTACAAGAGATTTAACAGAATGGAACTTACTCCATGCCCTGCGCAGTCTGCCGAGCAATATCTATCAGCTTGATCATCTCGAATTTGGTCTCGATGATGTGGAGATGGTGGTATAAGCTGGAGCCCTCACACCACTGGGTGACAATAGCCAGCTGGGGCTTTGTTGAATAGCCCATGAAGAGCAGGATGTTCACATGCCGAGTTTTCCTGTAAAAGAAGTATGTTAGTAAATAGTAAATGTCGATAAACTTCAGCAAATCTTAAAAAAGTGGACCAAAGCAGTCTGATTATCAGGAAGAACATAAGGAAGGATAAGTTTAGAAATTATTTTAGGAATTGTCTAGTGTAATATCCTACCCCTTGCAGAAAGATCTTAGCTTTTAATATACTTCACAACAGGCAACTGAAGTTGCTTAAATACCTTCAATTGTGCAAAGCTCTTCACTGAGACTGCAGCTTCTTTTTTCACCCTTACCCCCCTTTTGAAAGTGGCTCTAGTATTAAAAAGTTCTTTGGGGTTGAGAAAAAACTATTTCCCTACAACTTCCGCCACTGGCCGTCCTGTTCTGCTCTCTGGAATAAAACAAAGTCTGTACCTTCTTGAACATAATAGCCTTCTGTGGACCCAAATATACTCAGTTCTATCGACTGTTTTCCCCTTGTTACAGTTTCAGAACCCTCCTCATCTAAGTTGTCCCTGCCTGGATATTCTCTAGTTTGTTAATGTTCCTCAAGTCCCAGGGCTTGACACAATCTTTAAATGTGTTCTGATAAATTTAGAATTTTGAGAGTATTATTTCCATAAGTGGAAATAGGATTTTTCATGATCAGAACATTGTATTTCCATTAATTCACCTTAGGACTAATTTTCCTATCAGTTATACCATATAATATTGTACACCACTTAAACAATACGGTTAAAGACATAGTATACTCAAACTCTGTCTTACCACTTTTAGTAAACCTGTAAAGCCAACAGTGGCTATCACTGGAAAATAGAAGATAAAGATAACTTCTCTGGAAAACAGTAATGCACACAGGCTCACCTGAGTACTCCTACTTCATTTTTGAAGGCCTGTAACTGCTGAGGTGTGGGTGCTGTCACATTCAACATTTTCACTGCCACATCACCTAAAAAAAAAGTTGTCATTCTAAATGTCATTCCAATTTTTTAAACTTAAAAAAAAAAAAAAAAAAAATATATATATATATATATATACATATATATATATATATATAAACCTCTTGGATATTTTCACTAATTACCATGGCCTTAAATCCATACCATTATTAAATTGCAAATAAATGAGATCTTAACTTCTAAAATGTATTAATTTTCTAAGGATAAAAACTAAATGAACAATGACACTCCTATACTAGTATTTCAAAATACCACCTCCCCCCCCAATAGCCAATGTTGTATTTCCCCTAGAAATGTAGTTTAACCAAGTAAGTACCCATGGTATTTTCCTGATTAATTAACAATACTAAACCAAATGCTTTTATTATCTGAATGTTAAAACAAACTATTGAGGACAGGCCCAATGAAGCTTGGCTGAAATAGAAAACTGCGGAGCTTCTTTATCAGAGTAGTTAACATGGTTTTCAAATCCAAGGATCACTTGCTTTTGCTCAGGAAGATTAAAAAAATAATTTTATGTGAAACAGAATTCTTACACATCGCCAGTGGGTGTGTAAAATGGTGCAAGCACTTAAAACACTTTTGGCAGCATCTACTAAAACTGAACATATGTATATCCAGTGGTCCCACAATTCTTTCCTAAGTATATACCCAGCAAAAATGGAACATATGTTCTCCAAACAACATGTACTAAGAATATTCACAGCAGCAGCATTCGTAATAGCCCCAAACTGGACACTATTCAAATGTTCATCACACAGTAGAGATTGGAAAAGAAATCATGTTAGAGTCACACAATGAATACTATTCAGAGAATGAATGACCTATAACCACATACAATAATACAGACGAATCTTGTACTTTTTTGCAGGTTTATTATACTTTGATATAATTATGGATTCTTCCTGATTATCGAAGTAATACAGTGCTCATGGTGAAAAACATTTTGAAAACAAAGAAAAAAAGTAAAATCTCCTATAATCATGTCACTCAGAAGTGATCATTGTTAACACACTGATATATAAACTTATTAGGCTTTTATAGGTATGCAGTGTGAATATTTACGAATACATATGGAAAAAAATCACCTAAAAAGATATATAGTAAAATGCTGACAGTCGTTTTAAAAGTTTATGTTATATGTATATTTCTAGGCAGTACCATAGTATAGGATATTATACATGCTGTTCTGTAAAATTTAATATACCACACATACCTTTCTGTATCAATAAATATAGATCTACCACACTATCTCATGTCTATATAATCACATATGAAGGTTATCAATTTATCCAGTCCTCTGTTAATGAGCACGTAACTTTATTTCCATTTTCTCATTAAGTCTCTAATGAATATATTTGCACACACATCTGTTTGTTTCTGCCCAATGAGTTGTAGTTCTACAAATGGAATTGTTGGCTCAACACACATATTGACAAACTGCCCCCCAGAAAATCTGTAGCAATTTATTCTCCCTCCAGCAGTGTTACAATCACAGCTCTAAACATGGCCAATTAAAACAAACAAACAAACAAACAAACACAAAAACAAAAAAAACCTATCTGTCCACTTGAGAGGCAAATAATGATTTCTAGCTTTTGAATTTGCAATTCTTTGATAATTAGTGAGGCTAAACATTTCTATATGCTCCCTGGTTGTTTCTTCCTTTGGTAAGTACAATTTTAATGTTTACCTGTGATTTATAACACAAATAAAACTATCAGCAAAAAGACTTCTAAAAGAAAAAAAATCTTGGGGCGTAACTCACCCGGGGAATTGTCATCTTTAAAAATTATTACTGTAATGATAGGAGTCCTCCTTGCTGTGAATTGTTTTTATTTCCCATAATTTTTGTTAACCCTTTCTTTGGAGGACTCTTTAATCTGACCTATTTGCTATGATGCTATTTGCTTAGTGATTCAAACAGTGCATATTCCCTTTGATTTTTTTAAATCACAGTTATGACATGTATCCTATTATAACTTGTATGTCACTGTATTACATACGTACCATGCCACTTTCCCTTGTAGACTGTCCCAAATGACCCGGATCCAATTCTCTGTCCCACTGTGATCTGCCCATCAGGAATCTCCCAATCATCACTTGAATCCCTTCTACCAAGTGTTTTCTTCATAAAAATAGCACAAAAGTCAAGCCAAAGCAAACAAAAAAGGAAGAGAGCAAAAATCAGTGTGTGGGAATGCTTTAAGCAAAAAACTATCAGCTTTTAAATTTACTTTGTTAAGGGAATTCTGTGTCACATACTGACATATCATACATCACCATATATCATATAATCTAAAAGGTGACATTACATTTAGCTAGCTTATAAAACAAAAGAGCTTAGAGACCAGAAGATATCATATATTCTCACCATTCGATTCCTATCTTCTGAGGATGAAGAAGATTTCCTTTCCCGCTGAGGCCCTGGAGATTTCTGTAATGCTTTTACATTAGTGAGAGAGCCCGGCAATGAGGCAGGGGGGGTGGCAGACAAGCCTGTGGTTGATCCTAAATTAGTGAAATGAAAAATGTACCTATTAAAGGAGGATTGAGTATGTTAATTTACTGGGGGAAGAGGGTAGGGAGAGATTTAGACTTCTTTTCAAAATGTATGTTTAAAGGCACATCTTTTGGAAATGATAGGACAAAAAAGGGCCTCATTTGGTGATCTGCACTGTAATTTCTTTTGGTTTTCTGGTCAATTTAATGACTTTTAAAACACCTGATTTCAGATACATACTTTGCTTATTGGTGTAGAGTCTGGAAGAAAAATAATCTTTCTAAAGTAAGAGATCAATACTAAAACAATACTCCCAAGTCTTTGTTTGATTTAAAAACGTCAAATCAATTTAAAAGCTTATAGAAAAAATAAACTTGTAACTATTTTATGTTACCTGAACAGCCAATCAATATAAAAACAGATGGAAACTCCCAAATGGGAACATATAATAATGGCCTTAATGTTAAAAATATCTGGCTCTATCATATTAGCCACGAGAACTTTAAAAATCCTATACTGTTTAAGAGTTAGAAATATCGGTCAGTTCAGTGGTTCCTGGATTCCTGTTCTACCAAAGACTACTTGTTACCTGTATAACAAAGTTAATACAAACAAAGCCAAACAGGTTTCTCAAGACTTTCTGAAAAATCTCTACAGGTATAAAGTGAGAGAAAAGTTAAGTGCTATGGCCTCTTGGCCAAGCTGCTACAAGTGGAAATATTCTAGGAGTCAAGTGAGTCCAGTGGATACACTGAAAGTAGACTCAGTAGGCAGGGCTGCATACTTTTCTAAACACCGACTGAGCACAACTCCTAGATTCACCTAGCCGGTTTAGAGGGGTTCGGGGCAATGACTCCTAGTGGTGTCTGAATACAGTTAAGGAGAACTGAGATGTCCAGTAATATTTGCATATACAGAACAAAAAGACCTCGAAAGAATTTTTTCTTTTATAAGATTACTATTTGGGGGTAGGGAGAATAGCAATGTCTACATTTAAATGTTCAAACTGTATAGAATTTTATCATTGCCACATCACACATGCCATCACATGGAGAATGTACCTGATCTGATATGCAATTTTCTAAAAGGAAATGGGGCCTGGGATGCCTGTAACTAGAGCATAATCCATTTTCCACCTTCCAACCGGTAATTTTCAACATCATAAAGCTTTAACTGCTTGCTCAGGCCTCATAGATTCTGATCTACTCAATAATGTACTGTATTACTTATTTCAGTGACACTACTCAGTACTGTAGGAATTCTAGCCCATCCTATGGATTTTATAAGAAACAGCTGGGCTGAGACAGCAAAAATCTGAACCACCACCATCACTTTCAGAGTAAATAAGAGACACTAGCAAAAGCCAGTAAATATAATTCTTTAAAAATATTTGTAGTAAGATACCTGTCTGAATTTTGAGTTAAAACGTTAAGAGATCAGTTTAACTACAAAACAGAGTGAGATGAACTGAGAGAGTGGAACCACACTGCTATAGTGCTTCTTTCATATTAGGGTGTAAGTGAGGGTAGCAATCCTCAAATTTTATGAAGTATGCTAAAAGTACCCCAAATATATTAAAAACCTTTCTTAAGGCTCCCTACCTCTGATATAATATAAAACATACGTGTCCTGCATTAAAAAAAAGGACAGTGCTATTACAGAAAAATAAAGCCAAAAATCTGGCAAAATCTCCTAATTGGGGTTTCTATTTTTACTTTATTAAAAACCACAAGAGTTGATCACAAATATTAATAGTCATGAAGGCTATTATGTAAATGGATTAAAATAAAAGTTATTCTGATTGAGGCACCCCCCCATATACCTTATTTATTGCCACCCACCGAGTTTAAGAAATTATCAAGACCAAAAAGTAAGTAATAGAACAAAAAACAAGATGGATATCTTAGCTCAGAATTTTCTTGCTTTTAAAAATTTATGACAGACAGCATACAGAAAGCTTGTGGTAGTGAGTATGTGTGAGAAGCACATTCAGAGCATTCCAGCCAGGCCAAGCAGAAATTTAGTACTGAAAACTCTCACACTTACAAACACACGCTGTGAAGGTGAGGCACAAACAGTATCTGTAGTTTATATTGAGTTTGCTTTGGGTGAAAACAAGAAAGAAGAGCCCAACTACCTCTGAACACTGGGCCAGGCTCAAAATCAAACACTATTTCACTGGGGACAGAATGTAGGAGGGGACTGGGAGTCCGGGATTGGTATTTCCGAAGACCACGCATCAGCTGGTTCAAAGGGGCTGTTAGAAGAGAAAGAGAGGGGCAGGCAAACACAAGAAGACAGACACACAGAAGAAATGAAAGAAGTCATGGGAATAAATGAGTTGAAGCCTGCTTCACAAAATATTCTGGATGTCTAAAAAATCTGCTTGTTTTCATAAAATCCCAATGACTTTTTATAAAGTGACTCATAAAAAGGGTAAGCAGTGCCATTTGATTTTTGGAACTAAGCAGGCAGTTTTTAAGATTAACTTAACTTTGTGATGCTAATATGATGGCAACACTTAAATGCTGGATGTACTGGGCAAAATTATCAGAAGCCACAGTTATTAAGACATATGAAAGTCAAACTGGCAGCAACATTAATTGGTGGATTCATGGAATAACAAATGGAAAACAACCACAACTTTTTAAACTACATGCTACAATGAATAGTAAGTCCAAGATACAATGCAGGGTTTTCATTGAGGCAGATTCACAGGTATAGAGAAACATAACACAAGATGACTTACACAATGCTTATTCAATATAAAATATCTTTAAAGTCTGGGTTCAGGTATTTTGAAGATAAAGCAGTTCACAGTGAGGAGACCGACTCTCAAAAAGGTAAACAGGTATTACAGGTCCTCTTTTTTAGAGAGAAAATACTTGAAAAAGTAAGCATTAAGGACCACCTGGAAGAAATCTTCAAGACAGTTCCAAATACCATTTTGTGGAAAACATTGTATAGGGATAAAATCTTACTTAAAAAGTAAGCAATGTTTTCTTACGTCCCCAATTTTTAGAGTGCTAGAGTGAACATCTGATAAAGCAATCTCCATTCAATTTCTCATTTACTTCTTTTATTTACTGGACTAATAAGAGGACAACATGCTTTCTTTCTATAAGGGTCCATTTTGTATAAGGTACATTCCAAACCCTTCCAGAAAGCTGAAGAGGCTGACAATGTCCAACAAACGGAGATGTTGTGACAGGCAATCTAAGGGATTCTTCACAAGAATGACTTAGGAAAATCAAGTGTTAACTGACCCTAAGCTCAATCATTAAGTATGAGTGGTACTAGTTAGAGTTTCCTCCCAAAGGGAAGTTAGCACCTCTAGTTTTAGAGATAGTTAGGAATCAGTAAGGTGGGTAAGATAGTTGATGGTTTGTCTTTGAGGATAACAACATTTTAAAATTGTAGATAGTACATTTAAGATTCCCTTTTATGTCTTCTCTTTTTATCTACTCATCTTATAAATCAGTTAAAATTTTACCAGAGATGAATGATAAATAATAAAGAAAACTAAAAAAAAATTTGGGGGTTTTCCCTACACATTTTTCTCTGTGTCTGTGTTTCATGAAAGAAGCAAATATAAAGGAGACAAGCAGCAAAGCAATTGCATTTTTCCCTGATTTTTTTTTTTTTAATTGAAATCACTACTTACCTCCATCACTACGAAACCCCTGGTCTCTAATCAAGTCCTACAAATAAACAGTAATGGATATTTATTCAAAGCATATGGTAAGAAAGTAATAACAACACTGAACTTTCCACTAACCATTAACAGAAAGGTTAATTCAACATAATACCTGTCATACAATTACTTCACAAAAGAATATGAAATTAGGGAACATAAGATAAACATTTTGAAGCCCTTGTCAACCTAACCCCTATATTGAAGGGATTATTAGTCCTAATCAAATGTTGAAATCCCTTTCAGGCCATTCAAAACCAATGGCTACATCAATTCTTTTTTTTTAACGTTTATTTACTTTTGAGAGAGAGGGAGACACAGAATCTGAAGCAGTTTGATTACAATCAAAATACAGATGCGTAAGGAAACACTAGAGGGGAAAAAAAATCAAAATGGCTCTAAAAGGGTTTTGTTAAAGTTTGTCTTTATTATTAAAACATATCTTCCTACAACAGACAAAACTGGGTGATGGGGAGCGAAAAGTCTACTGGCAACGCGATGCACTTTGGACATTGATAGGTGGGACTTAGTATGTTTACCCACTTTAAATAGGAGGGCCTGAACGGCCCAAATGTCTCTAAACAGGCTCAAAGGCTCTTTGCAAACAGGCAGCTTTTTGTTTCTAGTCTAGAATAAATTCTTTACAAATGCATTTCCATCATGTGTAATGTATTATATAAAGCCTTTGCCATCTTCTACAGAATAACCAACAAATATACATCTGCCAACAATGTGCTAGGTGTTAGGGGCTGCATGGCTACCAATAAATATAAAATCCTTGTGGTCTCACTAACTTTCTCTGTGTTCTTGAGGACTTGTAATCTAAGTGGAAGAAAGATGTACAAACATGGAAATGAAATGATAAAAGAATAATAGCTTAAGAAAACAATAAAAGAGGTGCCAAAGTTGCTTAGTTAACTGCCAGACAAATAGTATGGGTGAAAAGACTCCTGGTGCCACACGAGTTCAAAGGATAAAGAACTGTTAAGACCTCACTGTGGAAGCATTTCAAGAGAAGAGCTAGGAGTTGGGGGTAGATAGGAATGCAGGGGTGGAAAGAAGCAGAGGACCACCTACATTTTTTTTTTTTTGTTAAAGTAGGCTCCACACCCAGCTTGGAGCACAACTGCGGGGCTTGAATTCACGATCCCGAGGTCAAGACCTGAGCTGAGATCAAGAGTCTGACGCTTAACCGACTGAGCCACCCAGGTGTCCCAGAGAGGAACTTCTAGACACAAAGAACCGCAAGACAAAGGCAAAAATGCCACATCCCTTTCCTTTTTGCTTCACCAACCTTGTAACTCCCCACAACCAGGGATCAGCCACCTCTGGCTTTCTCCGCTCTTACTGCTAATTAACACCATAAACTTCTATTTTTCAATCTGTTCCTAAAGCTTTTTGACAATCTTTTCACTTATTCTAGGTTAAAGAGGATCTTCTAGTATCCCAATACTGGCTATTTCCAACTCTCCTTCATCTCCTGTAGCTCCTTTTGTTACTTATATCTCTTCCCTTTAGCATGATAGAGGAAACAGAAGCCTGTCCCTATATTAACAAGTATTTGCACAGTAGCGTTAGCTATAATTTCTGAATTCTTACTATGTGCATAATAAACATTTTCAAACCAACAAAAGAGGTAGATACGGCTAGCTTCAAGGTTAAGGCATTTGCCCAAGGTCATACAGCCTGTAAAGAGCTGCAGAGCGAGCTATGTCTATCTCTAATTCCTCACAGCCTCTGAGGAATATCGTTTCCACGTTTAGGAACTGGACTATATCAATTATTCCCTCTCTTGTTATTTTCAACCTCTCTCTTCACTTGCTTCTTCCCCTCAAGTTACAAACATGCTGAAGATTCTCACATTAAAAACAACTGTCCTTCAACCCTGTTTTAATCTATGGCCCTTACATTATTCCTTTAGAGCCAATCTTCTCAAAAGTGACACTTACCCCCACACCTTCATCAGCCTTGCTCTCCTCCACTGGCCCTCTAAAACAGCTCTCAGTGAAGTCAAAGTGACATTTTAATTGTTCAGTAGTCATTTTCAGTCCTTATCACATGTGAGTCTCAGTGGCAACTAACATCAACTACTTCAGCATTCTTCAATTCCCTTTCTGCCCTTTGGGGTGACACTACTCTCTCTTATGTAAAGTTAGACTTGGGAAGAAGAGCTCGTAAAAGGCACAGAAAAGGACAGTCTTTGCCCGGACCTCAAAATGTTAATAATATTCAGTGGGGTTGCATATTCTACCTTCTTTTCAATTTACATGTAGTCTTTGAGTAGTATCATTTACACCCATGGTTTTAATTGAGAAATATGCTAATTATTCCAAAATCTGTTATCTCTACTCAAGGTCCTTATATTCAACTGCCACTGGACTTCTAAACCAGTAAAGTCCCTCAGACAACTTAATGTCAGTATGTCCAAAATAAAAGTTACCATTTTCATTTCTATAAGACCTGTTCTTCTTCCTTTGGTATCTCCTATACTACTGAATGGAATGAATACTGTTTACCCAAGCCAGAGAAGTGTGGACATTATCTTCTAGATCTCTTTCACTTCTTTCTACTACTCTACAGAACAGTAGTTAAACATAAGCAAGAAAGACCAGGTTTTACCCCATTTCAATCATTTATCAGCAATGTGATCTTGGGTAAGTTTCTTAACCTCTTCAAATAGAATTTTCTCAACAGTAAAATAAGGATAAAAATAGTACTTAATCCATGAGTGTTTATGAGGACTCCGCTATGTAGGGGAGCCTGGGTAGCTCAGTCGGATAAGCATCCGATTCTTTGTTTCAGCGCACGTCATAATCTTATGGTTCTGTGAGTTCGAGCCCTGAGTCAGGCCCTGCACTGACAGTGTGGAGCCAGCTTGGGATTCTCTGTCTCTCTCTCTCTCTCTCTCTCTCTCTCTCTCTCTCTCTCTGCCCCTCCCCCACTCACGCTAGCTCTGTCTCTCTCAAAATAAACAAACTTAAAAAAAAAAAAAAGAAAATTTATGTAAAGCACTCAGTATAGTACTTGGCATATAGTAAGCATTCATAAACAGTAGCCATTTTTGATACCATTCCTAACAATCTTGCCTTCTAAATCTCTCATGAACTCACAATATTCTTCCAAAATACAGAGCTGAGCTCTTCCTCTCCCACTCAAAAGTTTTCCAGACTCCCTACTACCAGCAACCACAGAAACCTTAAAGACTTGACAATGCCTTTAAGTATGGACTCTACCTACCTAGTTTTGTCTTCTTTTCCCTACTCTTCTCCTGAACCAGAAACTCCTACAATGTGCATTATTAATTACATCCTAAGTAAAGGTACTTCCATATTTTTTGCATGTACTATTTCCTTAACAAATGCCCTTTCTTCTTAAAACCCCCACCTAGTGAATTTAATGAACTCCTACGCATTCATCTTTTATAATGTGGCTTAAATGTTGTCCTTTCTCTGTTAAATACAGTGATAAACTCTACCCTGGGGCATATAGGATTATCACCCTCTTCTATAAGCTACAGCTATATATTTTTGCATCTATTTATACGTCTGATTCATCCATTAGACTGTGACCTCTTTGAGATCACAGACTATGTGCTAATTCATCTTTAATTCCCAATTCTGACAGTGCCTATCCCAGAGTCAGCATTGCCAAGTATGTCAAAAAGAAGTTAAAAAAAACTTATTTACTAGAATAATAAATTATAAATAATGATTGGATCTGAATGACTGAAATTGAATGAAAATGCTAAAGCATTTATATATTATCTTATAATCAATGGAAGTCAATGAAAGTTTTGGAACAAGGAAACAGATGATGGCAGAGGTATAAAAAAAATTATTCGGACACTAACATAAAGAATGGAAATGGATAGAGAGAAACCAATGGCAGGAAATCCATTTAGGAGATTAATTCAAATAAAGAAATATGGGCTCAGAGGGTGGTAGTAATGAGAACAAATTTGAGATGCATTACCAAAGGAAAAGTTGATACCTTATGACTATTTGGTTAAAAGGAAGGAAGAAAAGTCAAGTTATAAAGATGATACGCCAAATATTCAAGCCTCAGAGAATAGAACAGTAACACTAAGAGGAAAAGTCTAGAGGGAAACAGTCTAAAATGATGTTAGTACTGAAAGGAAAACTGGATATAACTTTTTTTTTTTAATTATTTATTTTGGGGCACCTGGGTGGCTCAGTCGGTTAAGCATCCGACTTCAGCTCAGGACATGATCTTATACTTTGTGGGTTCGAGGCCAGTGTCGGGCTCTGTGCTGACAGCTCAGAGCCTGGAGCCTGCTTTGGATTCGGTGTCTCCCTCTCTCTCTCTGCCCCTCCCCTGTTCGTGCTCTGTCTCTCAAAAATAAACAAATGTTTAAAAAAAAATCGTTTAAAAATTTTTTTTTAATTTATTTTGAGAGAGGGTAGGGGCAGAGAGAGGGAAGGAGGGAGAAAGGATTCCAAGCAGGGTCCATGCTGACAGCAAGCACAGAGTCTGACAGGGGGCTTGAACTCACAAACTGTGAGATCATGACCTGAGCCAAAATCCAGAGTCAAAAGCTTAACTGGACTGAGCCATCCAGGTACCCCAAGATAGCTACAATTTTGAACATAATGAGAATAGACCTAATTTAGAAATAAGATTTGGTTTCTTATTTCACAATCTCATTATTCCCATATTTCCCTCTCCTACTATTTTCTTCCTTTGTATTCAGGCCTACCTAGACCTTATTAGTTGAGAAAAATTAATATTAGGCAAAGGCCACTTAAAATAAATCCAATAAAAATAGAGAAAAAAATCTCATAGTAAAAAGTGGGAAGGATGTCTGGAATTTGGAAACTCATCTTGAAAAATGAAATTAAAATTTATAATAAAGATTTTCTTTTATATTTAATAAATTTTAAGTTACAATTTCAATATGCTAATTATCAGAACACAGGAATCACGTTTTTTGTTGTTCATAATACGAAAGCTATAGCACCAACTGAAATCCTCGTTTTCATATTCATCTTTTACATAGCAAGCATAATCATTTTTATAAAAATTTTAGAGGGTTTCATCAATTCCCTGAAGGGCCTCTAACAATCCTTTGATATAAATCATTTTCATTTGAAGAACCTATTATATTGTCATCTCTAAGGATCTTTTCTCTTCTATTGTTACCTGGACTAATTTAATTCTACTGTATCCTTATTTTTCAATGGCTTTTTGTAATTTCAGTAGTTCTCCAAAGTCATTTTTCACTATCTTTATAAAATCTTTAAATCTTTTCTTTCTTTCTTTTTTTTGCCAGATTTGCAATCAATTTGCATTATATTTTCATTGAAATGTTGGATAATGATGTATGGGGGTTGGAATGCAAACTGGTATTAGATGGGGAAGGATATCTGAGTGGGGACTAATACTAAAGTAGCCTGTTAATAAGTGAATATTTTCCTGTTAGGAAAATTTTTGCTTCTCTACTCAACTTTATATAATTAGGAAGACTCACATAAGGAACGCCTGTAAAATGAGAACAACTCCTATCTTCTAACACACACACAAAACCACCTCACTAATTTTAGTACCCTGTTTATGTGGGGAAATAGTTTTTTAACTTCCGTTTTAAATATAATTAGTTTCCAAGGCAAACAAGGTTGGCAGCTTTTGTTTTGTTGCTTATTACAGAGATTAGGAATAACTTACACTCTTTATCTGAAAGCACAAATTCTGGGAGAAATGACACCTAATTCCAAGATCAGGACCCCCATCCCACCACAGCTCAGGTAGTAAGAGCATATTATTCTCTTCTGTAACTCAATTACTGGATTATTTTGTAAATAAAGTTTTATGAGAATAAAGCCTCACCCATTTGTTTATAAGGTATTATCTCTGCTTTCACACTACAATGACAAAGTTCAACAGCTGTCATCAGAAATCATATGACCCACGAGCCTAAAATATTTACTTTAAGGAAAGTCTGTTGGGGCACGTTGGTGGCTCAGTCGGTTGAGCGTCTGACTTCAGCTCAGGTTATGATCTCGTGGTTCACGAGTTCAGGTGTCTCACGAGTTTGAGCCCTGCATTGGGCTCTGTGCTAACAGCTCGAAGTCTGATCCTGCTTCGGATTCTGTGTCTCCCTCTCTCTTTGCCCCCTCCCCTGCTCACATTCTGTCTCTTTCTGTCTCTCAAAAATAAATAAATGTTAAAAAGAAAAGAAAAGAAAAGAGAAGAGAAGAGAAGAGAAGAGAAGAGAAGAGAAGAGAAGAAAAGAAAAGAAAAGAAAAGAAAAGAAAAGAAAAGAGAGTTCGAGCGCCACACCCGGCTCTGTGCTGACAGCATGGAGCCTGCTTAGATCCTCTGTCTCTATTTCTCTGCCCCTCCTCCACTTACCCTCTCTCTCAAAAATAAACATTTAAAAAAAAAAGTAAGGAAGGTAAAAAGTAGCTTTGCATATCTTGTGCATAAAGTAATGATTAGTCCTAAAGGGTTATTTAACTTAAAACTGTATTTTTAGAAATTTAGATACAGATTTCAAATTGATCCAAATAGAAAAGCTGCAATGGTACCCTTATTTCTTTACCATGAAATGGCCAAGGGACTATCTATTAAATAAATGAAGATAAGACTTTTGCAGAAACAATATCATAAGGCAACAAATCCGAACAACTCCACAATTTGGCATCAGTTAAGTATTAATACCATCAGAGAAGATGACAAGTTTTTTCTGATCACTAATTCACGAAGTCAATCACCTAATGACTGTGACACTTGAAAGATGGCACTTATTTCTGATCTATATTATAAATGTAGCAGAAAAAGAAATATAATTGAATTTTTTTAGTTCTAATAACGCTGGATACTTACATCAATATTGACAGGTTCTATTGTATTTATATGCACATTTGGAGCTGATGAGGACCGGTCTCGCTGTCCAAATTGATTTCGATGATCTTCATCTGCTGGTCGGAAAGGCTGTGGAATTGGAATGGATTTTGAAGGAGACGGACTGGTGAGAATTTGGGGCCTGGAAAAATCAAGTCATTGAAAGATAAGATTCAGAGCAAGTTTAAAGAGATAAAAACAAAAAATGGGTGACCTAAAGATTTCCTTGTTTTCATATTCTCAATAAAATCTTTAAAGCATTAAAAACCCAGCAGTAACGGTGTTTAAGAAACTAATATATGCCTATAATTAATACTGAAGAGCTGCTTTTGCTGAAGCAGACCCTCTAGGGACGATTAATGACAAGAACACTGATTCTTATCCAAGAACTCCAGGGAAATCTAAAAATGGCTAGAAATTACCTGTAGTTAATCAGCTAAAGAAACTCTTTAAAGTTACACAAAAATCTCTAAATACTAGAGACTGACTGAATAAAATCTATTTTTTTCTACCTTTGCCATTTCTAGATACTAAAATGGAATTTTCATGCCAAGTATTAGGAAATTATATTTTGAAAATACACCTGTGGATTCCAGGACCTGGAAGATGTATCTGTTGCTTTACACAGAGTTAAATTAAAATCTTGAACAATAGCAAAAGACCATTTGCACATCCAAAAGATGATCCTTATAGTGTCAGCCTCTCATATTTTATCATTCTTACCGTGTCCAATAATTAAGAGATGCAAGAGAATCAAGTAATAAGCATTAAAGCAAATCTTCTTTAAAATTGCTTTTGATGAAATCATCAAAATAGGTGACAGTGATCTATTTTGTTACTGTAGATAAATAACAAATTCTACGATCTCTCATTGCCCTGAAAGGAACCTCACACTCACAAAGCACACTCAAATTCTGTGAATAGACTGTAAATACCTGTGAGTAGTCTAGGCTCCTCAGAAAGAATATCCAAGGGAGCTGGGAAGGGTAAGTATCATGTGAAAGAAAAGGTATGGCTGTTCTGATGAGCTCCATCAAGACCAATGAATGATGCAGTGCTCACAGCCTCTCTACAAAGACTGGTATCATTTCACCCCATTTATTTTATTTTTTCCTTTTATTTTTTTTAATGTTTGTTTATTTTTGAGAGACAGAGCACGAGTTGGGGAGAGGCAGAAAGAGAGGGAGACAGAGAATCCGAAGCAGGCTCCAGGCTCTGAGCTGTCAGCACAAAGTCCAACGCGGGGCTCGAACCCACATACTGCAAGATCATGACCTGAGACAAAGTCGGATGCTTAACCGACTGAGCCATCCAGGTGCCCTCATTCCACCCCATTTAATGCAAACTCTATAACTAATCATCATTTTTTATTGGTTATTAAGACACAGACAAAATGAAAATGTGGAGGGAATAAAAAGACATTTTGTGAGGAGACAGGTTTAGGAAGGTACGGGAAGAAAAAAATAGTAGAAAAGGTTTGAAAAGCCAAAGCCAAATAGTGACAAAAATATTTTTTTTTCCCCTAAGGTTCTGAATAAAGCATTTTAACAAAATCTGAACCCCACCCATTTATTGTTTTACTCTTTGAAGTACGCTATCAAAGGTAGGGAAAGAAATTTTGAGCTTATTTGTTCAGACTCAGTCCACTTGTAACTGAAATAAAAATAATAAAATATTATGTAGTTTAAAGACTTGGTTATCACCCACTGAAAATTACAGGTTAAGACTGATGGACCTGGCCTTAAGAAAATTTTCATTGTCATTATTGAAAAATTTTTAATTTGTGACAGAGCTTTCTTTAATTTTGCCTTAGGCAGCCAATATATGGCTTTTGCTAAGGGATTTTGAGAACAGGTAAAAGAATGTAAAAATGACAAATGGTTTTTAAAAAAAGTTTTGGAAAGTGTACCTACTTTCAAAAAACTATAGTCTAATTTAAAGTCTCAAGGCAATTGCATACTTTAAGTTAGGACTTAAATGTGGAAAAAGCCTGAATTAACTACAGTTGTACAGGGCATTCTAATTAACCTAATATAATGGATCAATCTAATATAATTGATCTGATGCAGGCATTAAGTGACAGCAAGTCATTTTTGAAAGTTACTGAATTGACTATGACTGCAACATGTAGTCTATAACAAAGCAGAAACATGTATTCAAAGGGCATTGGTTCAGAAGTAGGAGAAACGAAAACCAGGATTTAATCTGATAAATTTTATTATCTAAAAAAATGGATACATAAGAAAGTGACGATGTCTGCCTATTCACAAAATGAGAAAGACTATATTTGGCAGCTGGTATCTAACATCACCCAGTGGAGGGCATATGGTGGTCCATGAAATCAATTTACCTAGCATTGATGCCCAGTGTATTATAATTTTGTGAGAAACTTCAAGTTATTATATCCTAATGTCATTAAACATCTGAGCCATGTCCTTTTTTTTTTTTTTTTTTTTTTTTTTTTTAAGTTTATTTGGAGCAAGAGAAAGAGAGCACAAAAGGAGAATGGGCAAAGAGAGAGAATACCAGTCTCTGCTCTGTTAGTGCAGAGCCCGAAATGGGGCTTGATCTGACGAACTGCGAGACCATGACCTGAGCTGAAATCAAGAGTTGGATGATTAATCAACTGAGCCACCCAGGTGCCCCTGAGCCATGTGCTAATCCCATGCTTAACAAAAGCAATCTTTGGATTATAATTTGGTTTCTCAAAAATATCTTCCAACAGTGGAGTGCTGGTCCATCCAACACAAGAACTCTGGTCTATACAACAGCTATATTTCTCAAAGAAATGAATTACCTAGAATTTTGATTCAGTCTTTTCTAATTCTGGTTACTGTAAACGAGTGTATCTCTAACTCTCATCATTTCTGGGGACTGATAAAATTGAATTTCCACACTAGGGCATCTTTACCCGGACCAACACAATTTATACCCAGTGAAGTATGTTGGCAGCCAGTAACTGGCTTTCCCCTAATGACACCTCTACCTATCTTGTTGCAGACCTCTTTAAAGCAGTATCAGATTAAAAATAAAAAATTTTTACCTCTAACACTCTTCAGCAAATTACCACTTAGTTTAGATCTTATTTTCAATCTGGAATATTAAAAGTTGTGGGGGGGGGGGGGCGCCTGAGTGGCTCAGTGGGTTGAGCATCCGACTTCGGCTCAGATCATGATCTCACAGTTCACAAGTTTGAGCCCCATGTCGGGCTCTGTGCCGACGGTGCGGAGCCTGGAGCCTGCTTCAGATTCTGTCTCCCTCTCTCTGCCCCTCCCCTGCTCACACTCTGTCTCTCTCTCAAACATAAATAAACATTTAAAAAAAAAAAAAAAGAATATTCAAAGTTTTGGCGCCTGGGTGGCTCAGTTGGTTAAATGACTGACTTCAGCTCAGGTCATGATCTCACAGTTCCTGAGTTTGAATCCAGTATCAGGCTCTCTGCTGTCAGTATAGAACATGCTTCGGATCCTCTATCTCCTCTCTCTGCCTCCCCCAACCCCTCTCAAAAACAAACGGTAAAAAAAAAAAAAAGATTAAAAGCTTTGAAGCAATGTGACTCCTTCTGTTCAGCAATATGTAAATTTTATTTTTTAAAGTTTATTTATTTATTTTAAGAGAGAAAGAGTACGACCAGGGGAGAAGCAGACAGAGAGAATCCCAAGCAGGCCTCATGCTGCCAGTGCAGAGCCTGATGTGGGGCTCGACCCCACAAATTGTGAGATCATGACCTGAGCCAAAACCAAGAGTTGGTCACTTAACTGACTGAGCCACCCAGGGGCCCCAGCAATATGTAAATTTTAAAAAGCTGACTTTTTATACATTCACACATTCCATAACATTTTTAAAAAGCAGAAAAGGAGGTACCTCTAACTTTTAATTCAAAACTGGGCAATGTATCACTTCTCCAATATGTCTTGGTTACATCCATTATTCTATGTGCTTCATGACCACTAGAATTATTATAAAGACTATTAACATAATGCAAAGGAGCAGCAATACAGAACAGGATTGGCTTCTATCTTTTCACAGGCATATACAGACACTTGTGATATAAAAGCATCAGGGAAACAAAAGTTTGAATATCTTTTTTATCATTTGCTCAAGACCAGAAGGTACTACAGTTTAGCTATACATAAAATACTCATGGCATAGGCAAATGGTTTCTCAATTTTAAGACAGCATCCCTTCACTGAAAGGCACCTGCCCTGGATCATTACCATTATAAACCTTCAGAGAAACCAAGTTAATTTCATTATGGTGTTCTGTAACTCTGCTCATAGAACTAGGACCTGCCACTGGAAAGGCATCATGGTCTACAGAACTGTCAGGAGTAAATACCATAGCCAGAAGGTTAATTAAAAATAAAAACAAACAATAACACTTAGATCTCCTAAGGAAGACACAGGTGCAAAGAACTAATGATAGAGACAGCAGGAATAAAATGACTCCACTAGAGCAGGTAACTGTTATGACCTGACTAAATAAATAAATGCTTGCATTTTCTAGTGTTTCTAAGTAGATAAAAATACAGTCCTTAATACAAATCTTTAGTAAATTTTCTAGCCTATGAAACCTCTAGAAAGGTTGGCTTTGTAAAATTACAGGTCTCTTGGGATTATCCACTTACTGTCTTCTCTCTCTAGGTAGAAAAAATAGCATTACCTTGTGAAGAGAGGAAGGAAGTAGGGTTCAAACTGACAATAAATATTTCTGATCTTAACTATCTCTGGAATATTATAAGAGAGAATGCCATGTGAGGACTTTATTTTTTTTTAACCATATGCTCCAAATATAGTATAATTTATTCTGCCTCAAACCCAACAAAGAGTATGCAGACATATATAAGAAATTCTCCAACAAAATACTAGTATCTATTAAACTCATCTTTTTTCTTTTTTTTCCTACTATGAAGCTTGAATATATGATGCCTTTATATTATCTTTAAAGTCAGTTTTCTCATTTATCCTCCACAACTAACAATACTATTAATTTTTTTCCTTACACTTTGTGCATATCCATCCCTTCTCCATACAGCCCACTTCAAGTCTTTATTGCCACTCATTGTCTCCACTATGAACAGCATCTGAGTTGGCCTTCTTCACCCTAGACATTTCTCCATCAATCCATCTCTCATTGCTACGTGGTGATCCCTTCCTTAAAATCATTTTGACCAGCCAGTTCTCTGCTCAAAAACTACCTCTTCCCCCTCTTGTGTTAAGTCTTAAGCCTAAATTCTAGTCTGAATTTCAACACCCTTCATTATTTGGGTTTACACATGTTACTTATCAACTTAGATTAGCCTCTGTTCACTGTCTCTCAAATCTACCATCCCACCACCCATCATCATGCTTTTTATTCCCTGGGCTCATCCACATTCTAGAATTCATATCCCATTTCTTCAGTAAATGTTCTTGACTATACTCACTATTCTCTCTTCTATGGTAAACATGGTAATATTTATGTCCTTCTCACATCACTTAAAATATTATGTCATAAATTGCAGACTATTTTTAAATTGTTTGCCATTGTCTCATTGGTTTAATGCTGCTTTTCTAAATGGGAATCACAGACTTCTATATTTGATATTACCTAGTAAAGTGATGAGCACAAGGCAGGAACTCTAAATGATCTGCTGCTTGATTTTTTTTCCAAGGCTGGTCCTGAAAGAGTCTAAGTCAGTTTTAATCCCATGTACCTTTACCGAATTCATGTGCATTTGCCTGATGTGATAAAATTGTGTACATCTGCCTGTGTGATCATTCATTTGTCTGATGTGATAAAATAAGTTACTTGGAGAAAAATCCTTGATTTAACAGTCCAAGTGTTGGAAAGGTTCATAATTAACCAAAAGATCCAAAAGAAACCAGCTCAAGTAGCATTGTTATTGAACAGCAGGAGTCAAGTCATACCCAGTAGAATCGGAGGGGGGCGCAGAAGGGGACGATCCAGACGTTAGGGCAGTCTCTGCTATGGAGGCCTCCTCCTGTGGTATTGGGTGGTGTTCAAAGAACTTGGAGACAAACAGCAAACTGTGAGGCAAAAACAAAAACAAAACAAAACAAACCTAACTTGTGCAAAACCCAGAAGCTTCACACACCAGAATACATTATAGAGTGAACAGAAATATTTGAGATCAAATTCCACTTTCAGAAATGACTGTTAAATTCAATTAGTCGTTTTTTGCCTAAAGGCTTATTTATAAAAAATTATATTGCACTTTGAAAGGCAAGCTTATAATCTAGAACTAATTGTTCTATCCAGCAAATTTCTATATATTAGAGGGGAAAAATCATGCTTTATGGTTAAAGAATTAGAAGAAAATGTATCAACTGCTAAGTTAGATTACATCAAATGTACTTTAAAGTACAGAGTTGAATTCTCTTTGCTCAAGTGATCAAGCAAAGTAGTAAGACCTTAATGGTAGTAGCAGCAGCAACAACAACAAAAAAGATTACAATAGACTCAGTCTAATCTATTAGAGAAACTGTGGCATAAAGCAAATAGAAGTTTTAGAAAGATACGCTGGGTACAAAGATTTTATATCTTACTTTCAAATAAACTGGGCAGGGGAGGTTGAAGGAGAGAGAGAGAGAGAGACCGAAAGAGAGAAAGAGAGAGAGAACACACATAATTTACAAAATAGTGATAGGATCAGAATCTCTGATCTGTGATCCAAAAATATAATGGTTAACTTAGTTTAAATCACACCACTCTCCTCCCAAAAACCATCTATCAGTGATGTCTATGGGCAAGGGAACTTTATTCATTAGAAGAGAATATAACACATAAATGAAATGTACAGCTGAATCAGAATTAAATTTGGGGGAGCAGTACTGGCTACGCTACATTGTATTCCCTAGCCACCCTTTTTTTAAAATTTTTTTTTTTCAACGTTTATTTTTTTATTTTTGGGACAGAGAGAGACAGAGCATGAACGGGGGAGGGGCAGAGAGAGAGGGAGACACAGAATCGGAAACAGGCTCCAGGCTCCGAGCCATCAGCCCAGAGCCTGACGCGGGGCTCGAACTCACGGACCGCGAGATCGTGACCTGGCTGAAGTCGGACGCTTAACCGACTGCGCCACCCAGGCGCCCCCCTAGCCACCCTTTTTTAATTCCCTGTAACTCTACTGGAAAGAAAATTCCCAGATTCTAAGATACTCGTTTCACATTAAGAAAAGTTAAATGTAAAATGGTAGATAGAAAAGAGACTTTTTTTTTTATTACTTACTCAAGTTGGTCATAATTAACACACATCAGTGGAACCTCTGTACTACAACGCTGGTGAAATTTATAACCACACGTTTGACAGCGAAAACCTTGGAAAAGCAGCTTTCGACAAAAGTCACAAAATGCTAAGGTGAAAAACGTTTTCCGTACCTGCAAAGTAAAAACATCAGAGAGCATTTTAAAAACTTGCAAGTATCTTTTTAGAAATCAACTTATTCACTCTCTTGCTTAAAATAACAAATCTTTAATATGTTCATATCATGAGAACTGCCTTACACACAAAGATATTAAAATGAAGACCAGGAGGTTCAAGGCAAGAGATGAACCATATGTACTTATCTCCCACTCAATATCCAATTTAGAAAACTCAGAAGTCAAGAAGATGGAAAGTGAATAAAAGACTGGAAACTATTTTCAACCTGACTCCATGAAAGTAGGTGTAGAGACAACAAGTAGAAAGAGGGAACAGGCGTGAAAGGAAGGGTGAGGACACACTGTAACAACTGTACCACGAAAAGGAGTTAAGTGATGCTTGCTGCTGCTGACAGAACAAGAAACAATGGCATTTTATTTATTTATTTATTTATTTATTTATTTATTTATTTATACATACATACATACATACATACATACATACATACATACATACATACATGGTGGGGTGGGATGGTATGTTATTTAAAGGGGAACAAAAAGGTAAGGTTGTAACACTACAAATGAGCTAATTCCCTACAAAATCAGTGATCAGTAAATGATGGCCGAGGTTGATAAAGCAAGGAACTCTGGCTTAAAGTTACTACTTAGTAATAGGAAAAACAAAACAAAACAAAACACCCAAAGAGCTTTAAAACAGAAACGGACTAGGATAAGGGATAGGAAAATCACCTAAAAGACAGTAAGAACCACTTTTAACAAAATATCAGTTAGAGGATTAGAATACCTAAATGGGTTTGTGAACATTCCTCTATGGGAAACTTAAGAACTCCATGTCAGAAGGCAAATGATCTACGACATGGGTCACATAATAAGAACTGCGTCAGGGAGGCTCTATCCTGATAACTACTGAAGCCAGAAATTATTTTTAGAGTATTTGTTTTACATATAGAATAAGCAGAAAATATAAGAAAGATAAATACCGAAATGTTAACAGAGGCTATTTCAGAGTGGTGAAAGCATAGGTGACTCTATTTTGTCCTTTGTCTTTCCTATATGCCCTTAATTCACCTCAGTGTCTCAGACAGTTTTAATCACAAACAATAGTAAGAAGTATATTTTACATCATGACCCAGGACATACCTATATTCATATAACAGTATTTATCCTGACCATATATAATGTACATCAGAACTTTCTATTCCATGCAAATGCCTTTCATGAGCCAGTAAGTTTATTTCAATACCCACGGTATACCAAACTCTTTTCAATAAACATACATCTAGCAGGATAAAAAGATATTTAACAATAATGTCTCATCAGGAAAATGATATCTTGGCACATGATACATTCCAGCTTTTTGAGAACATTCAAGTGATTTCAAGAGTGGCTTCTTGTTTTCTTCACCTAAAAAGGTCTACGTATCACTTTCTAGAGAATATAAAAGGCAACTACTTGTTTTTAGCTTTGTTACTTTTCCATTTGTCTCTGGATATACAAGAAATTAGAAAACCTTTAACATTTATGTGGCCATTACTCGCCAACGTGAGGACTTTTTGTATTTCTCGCAGGATCTCAGAAGATAGAGCAGAGAAAAATACAAAACGTGTTCACAGGAATTATTTTATAGTCACCTGATCCTCTTTGCTAACCATTTCTCACTCATCTGATAATCTGTTCAGTTTCATGAAGCCCTAATTTCTTTTTTCATTAATCTACTCACTTGCAGTTTTTCTTCCTGTTACTGACTTCTACTTGAAACCTACGTGTACCAGGCTGTTTGTGTATGTACAGAAGAAAAAAACACACAAGGCAAGAGGGGAGGAGGAAGGGAAGCAGAGGAATGGAAACGAGAAGCAAACGTGGGTACGCAGGAGTATAAATTGTGACATGCACCTGAATATGAGTATACTCTTGTCAATAAAAGTGGGCACGGGAAGGCAGATTTTCTACCTTTCCTGCCACTTCCACCCTGTCAGTTCCCAGGGATTTCTGGAACCCAGGCAAATACCAAAGGAACTGCTTTTATAACAGATTCTATGGAACCAGGAGGCATAAACAGCTATCCTCCAGTAGCCAGCAAGATCCAGCAGAGAGAAGCATAGAGAGGAATTCTTTCCCTTTCTTAAACGGAATGCAGGCTTTTCCTGTCTCTACATGGCACTCACAGCAACTGTTCTAAAACACAAATCCATTCCCAGGTCTCCCCTGTTTACAAGCATTCAATTTCCAGTTATTTTGGAGAGAAGTCCAGGTCTTTAACATGCCTTACAAAGACTCCCACGAGCTGGACTCTTCTTACTCTAGCCCTAACTCTTGCTGCACTGTAACCACTCCCTCTCCAATTTGATTCCATACCCCCTGAACTTCTTTCAGAGCTTGTAAGCACCATGCTTTTACACTGTTCCTTCTGTTGAGAGTATTCTTCCCTCATCCATTGGGCCTTAGCTTAGAGTGTTCTTCCTTTGGGAAACTTTCCTGATCCTCCAAGGCCTGGTTAGGAGTCTCTACTCTGTGCATCTACTGTACTTTATACATACACGGTAATTAAGAGTGTTTATGAAATGTTCTTATCGAATCATCTGTCTCTCTACTCTAAGGCAAGGATACTGTTTTTCTCATTCATTGTTATATCCCCAGATCAGAAACAGTGGTGGTAAGTGGAAAGTTCTCAATAAATATTTACTGGCAAGTCTCCAACTGTGTTGTGAGGATTTTTATACTCTGCAGTTTGTTTTCATTATTCTCTTGTGGCAAGGACCTTCCCGAGGCACTACTTTAACATTAGATTTTTCACCTCCTCTTAACTGATTTCTAGCTAAGAAGAATAATTAAGAAAAAGAGTAGTAATCATTGTGAAATGTAAGCTCTACTGTTTTGGGATCCTAAAAACTTAAAATTATCTTCAGATTTATCCACTCCAAATTCTACAAATTAAAAAAATAATAAATAGTAATGAACTTGCTAGGTCATCATTACAAAACTACTTGCTACATAGTAAATCTGACTGACAACATTCATCAGAAAGATGCCTTATTTATTGGGGCACCTGGGTGGTTTAGTGGGTTAAGCCTCTGACTTCAGCTCAGGTCATGATCTCGTGGTCCACGAGTTCAAGCCCCACGTTGGGCTCTGAGTTGACAGCTTAGAGCCTGGAGCCTACTTCAGATTCTGTCTCACTCTCTCTCTCTCTGCCCCTTCCCTGCTCACTGTCTGTCTCTCTCTCTCTCTCTCAAAAATAAGTAAACATTTGGGGTGCTTGGGTGGCTCAGTCAGTTAAGCATCTGACTTCGGCTCTGATCATGTTCTCACGGTTTGTGAGTTCAAGCCCCACGTCAGGCTCTGTGCTTACAGGTCAGAGCCTGGAGCGTGCTTCACATCTTGTGTCTCCCTTTCTCTCTGTCCCTCCTCCACTTGTGCACTGTCACTCTCTCTCTCTCAAGAATAAACAAGCATAAAAATTTTTTAAAATAAACATAAAAAAAAGAAGTCTTATTTACTGAAGCACAAATTATTCACCACTAATGGAGCCCAGAAAGCACAAACCCCCAAGGAAATCAGCTCATCATTCATCTGCTTTAGGAGTCCAGCTGTACTGATCACCAAAGCACACGAGAAAGCACTGGATGCCCAAACATTAGCAATAACTGTCCATCTAGAAAAATTAAACTATTGTCAAAATTCCATATATAATAGAAAGTAAGAAGTGCATTCCTGCCTTACAGATCATTCTACTCTAGGCTTCTGCCTATCCTTTAGAGGGTAAGTTCTCAAACTCTGGGCACTATACCCTCATCACTAAGGTGGAGATGTCCCACATTCCAGGTCTCATGCTGGTGACACTTAGCTTAGGCTAGGTTCTAGCAAATGCAAACCCCAGATGAAGGGAGAGGTCCTCAAGGAGCGCTACTCCACTTCCATTAACTCATCCTTCAGAAACATTTACACAAGTGTATCAAGCTGTACACAAAAATTCTGTTTAGTCCTGTACAAAATAGATTTTAAAACCCCTTACATGTCTATTAATAGAGGATGGTTAAATATGGGCTATTATGCAAACACTATAAACACAAACCTAGGTGTATTGATGTGGCAAGAGATCTATGATACACTGTTGAATTTTTTTTTCTTTAAGGTGAAGAATATCATACAGAATATGACTCCATATTTCATTTAAGGAAAGAATGGGAAGGGAAGGAAGGAAAAAAGAGAAAGGAAAAAACTTTGGGCTCACAGGTATAAGCACACATTTGTATATACAGGAAGAGTTTAGAAGAATACAAGATAACAAATGTTTACCCTCTTATTTTCTTTTTTTACTTGATATACTTCTGTACCATTCAAATTTTCTTTTTAGTTCTTTTTTAAAAAAAAAATTTTTTTTTTGAGAGAAAGAACATGCACGCGGGGGATGGGCAGAGAGAGAGAAAGCGCATCTTAAGCAGGCTCTACCTCACGACTGTGACATCATGACTGAGCTGAAATCAAGAGGTGGACGCTTAACTTACAGAGTCACCCAGGTGCCCCTTCTTTTTAGTTCCTTTTAATGAAAGTCATCTATTGCTTTTTCAAGTTAAAAAGAAAGTATATGATGAAAATAAAACTCTAGTTTAAATATGAAGTTTTTAAAGAACTGATTTTAACCTAGGTCAAATATCAATCCCTAAATAACTCATCCATATTGCATATTCCTTAAATAAAAACTCATGCACAAGAACCTGAACGTTTTTGACACTGAGAAAAAAGGTACAAGTACATACAAAGTTGTGAGTTGTAAGTGGAACATTTTCCAACACTTCTACATGCAATTCCTCTCCGGTGAGCCAGGAGATATCAGTGTCCCAGCCAATTGGTTTCTTCTCTCTGAAAAGTGTAGACACAGCCTTTCTTGGTTAGCGTACCTAAAAATCTTCACATACCTCATGCTGAAGATATGAAAATTGGTTATTGAGGGGCTAGTAATGGTGAGGGAGGTTTGGCTCCCTAGTCTTCCATCGTTAGAAATTTAAATGGCAATAAATTAATTTTTAAGTTTACCCCAAATAAATGTATCACTCTTGGACAAACAGCAGGGTAAAGAGATGTACTCTTTTCTTCAAGTCAGCTCCAGAAAAGACCTACAACAGCAGAAAATTGATTGTTCCTAGGGTCCCCCCTCCAAAAAAAAAAAAAAAAAAAATCACAGGTACGGATTTATCTATCCATTCAAAAAAAAGTAAAAACTAAAAAAATAAAAACAGCACTCAAGGGACAACATGCCCCAAAAAGGATATTTTTTAAAAAACAGGATTCAAAATTTGGGGGGTCTTGGCACAATTTTAGACACTTTTTTAAAAGAAAAACAGTTTAATGTAAAATGTTAATTTTGATAAGCCTTTTGTGAAACTATGAATTTATATTAAAAATGGGCGTGGGGTAGAGTCCGTTATTCAAATAAGTCACACTCTAAATGGTTCAAAAATTTTAAGATTCTCCAACTCCAAATAAAGTCATTTGATCAGAATAACAAATACTATAATCACACAAAACTGTCTAATGTTAACTCCTCAAAAGGCTGGCAAATTTTCTTTAGGCTTTTTTTTTTTTTCTAAACTTAAATTTTAACACCCTAGGTTTGGGTAAAGATGCTACAGAACACCCCAAAGTTCAATGTCTGAGGTTTTTTTGCCTTTTTAAACAAAATTTCACATCACATACAAACCATACCCATCCTGAATTCTGTAAACAGCACAGCACTCAGGGATTAGACCTCTCATCATCAGAGCTTTCTTTAGACTGTCCCGGACTGTAACTCCACATCTTGCAGGTACCTATAGTATCAGAAATATATAGTATGAGGTAAAAGGAATAAATTATATATTTTTTCGCATCGTTTCATAAAGCTCAACACCTTACCTTTATAATACCTTTAAAATGTCATACGGATTACTATGTTAGATACAACATCATTTATAGAGCTAACTTAATATTAAAGGAAAATCATGACTCAAGTATCTATTATTCACCAACTGAAAGCAAAACTGATTTTGTTTTTTATTAAGATTATGAAATATTTTGTACATAAAGAGAAAGTATAACAGATTCCTATATACCCACCACTGAGAAACAAGTCAACATTAAAGCAAAATCAATTAAAAACACTTTTTTAATTTGAATATAGCTGACACACATTACCTCAGTTTCAAGTGTACAACATAGTGATTCAACTTCTCTACACATTATGCTGTGCTCACAAGTATAGCTTACTATCTCTCACCATACAACATCAGAATAGTAATATTCCCTATGTCTTTCACCCCCATGACTTACTAGTTCCATCAACTGGAAGTATCTCCCCCCACTTCCCTTCACCCATTTTGCCTATCCCTCTATTCTCTGGCCCTCTGGCAGCCATCAGTGTGTTCTTTGTAGTTACCGGTCTGATTATGCTGTGTGTTTATTCCTGTTTTATCTTGTAGATTCCACATGCAAGTAAAATCATATGGTATATGTCTTTCTCGGTCTGATTTATTTCACTTAGCATAATACCCTCTTTGGCAAGAGCTCATCCTTTTTTTTTTTTTTTTCAATGTTTATTTATTTTTGAGAGAGAGAGAAACAGACTGCGAGCGGTAGAGGGGCAGAGAGAGAGGGAAACACAGAATCTGAAGCTGGCTCCAGGCTCCGAGCTGTCAGCACAGAGCCTGATGCAGCGCTCGAACTCAGGGACTGCAAGCTTATGACACGAGCTGAAATCAGATGCTTAACCGACTGAGTCACCCAGGCACCTCAGCTTATCCATTTTTATGGTTTTGTAATATTCCTCTGTGTGTGTGTGTGTGTGTGTGTCTGCTGTGTCTATGACTTCTACTACTACGTTGAATAAAACATGTTGTTCATTCTTTCTTTCCCTTTCTTTTTTGCTTTCTTTCTTCCTTTCTTTTTTTGATAACAGCCATTCTAATGGGTGTGAGGTGGTAGCTCCTTGTAGCTTTGATTTGCATATTCCTAATGATTACTGTTGAGCATCTCTTCCCGTGTTTGTTGGCTATTTGTGTATCTTCTTTGGAGAAATGTCTATTTAAGTCCTTTCCCCTTTTCTTAATCGGGTTGTTTATAGGTTTTTTTGTTGTTGAGTTGTAGGAGTTTTTAAAAATACGTTCTGAATATTAACCCCTTATCATATATATGATTTGTAAATATGAAAAGAAGTTGTCTTATTCCATAAGTTGTCTTTTCACTTAGATGACTGTGTTCTGATTCACATAGTTTTGTGGGTTTTTTTTTTAATTTAAATTCATGTTAGTTAACAGTGTAGTATTTGTTTCAGGAGTAGAATTTAGTGATTCATCACTTACATGTAACACCCAGTGCTCATCCCCATAAGCGCCCTCCTTAATGCCCATCACCTATCTAGCCCACCCCCCCCACCGACCTCCCCTCAACCTTCAGTTTGTTCTCTATAGTTAAGAGTCTCTTATGGTTTGCCTCCTTCTCTGTTATTTTATTTTTCCTTCCCTTCCCCTATGTTCATCTGTTTTGTTTCTTAAATTCCACACGAGTAAAATCGTATTTGTCCTTCTCTGATTGACTTATTTCATATAGCCTAATAATCTAGTTCCATCCACATTGTTGCAAAATGGCAAGATTTCATTCTTTCTGAATGCCAAGTAATATTCCATTGTATATAAATACATCTTCTTTATCCATTCATCAGTTGACAGACATTTGGGCTCTTTCCATAATTTGGCTATTGTTGATATTACTGCTATAAACATTGGCCCCTTCAAATCAGCATTTTTGTATTCTTCAGCTAAAAATGTAGTAGTACAATTGCTGGGTCATAGGGTAGTTCTATTTTCAACTTTTGGAGAAACCTCCATACTATTTTCCAGAGTGGCTGCATCAAAGCTTCTGATTCATATAGTTTTTAATTTTGATATAGTCCTATTTCTCTATTTTTACATGTTGCCTGTACTTTTGGTGTCTTACCTAAAAAACTACTGCCAAGTCCAGTATTGTGAAGCTTTTCCTGTATGTTTTCTTCTAAGGGGTTTTATAGTTGCAGCTCTTATGTTTATGCCTTTGATTTATTTGGAGATAATCTGCATATAGTGTAAGGTAAGGGTCCAACCTCATTGTTTTGCACGTGCATATCCAGTTTTCCCAGTACCATTGTGGAAGGGTTTTTCCTCCCCGCCTCCCCCCCAGAGGGGGCCGTGGCACCCTTGTCAAAGATCCTTTGACCACATACATGATCATTTATTTCTGGACTCTTTATTTCCTTGATCTATATGTCTGATGTCTATGCCACTCAGTAGGCATGCAAAAAGTTTAAAGATCAGGAAGTGTGAGACCTCCAACTTTGCTCTTTCTCAAGAATGCTTGGTTATTCAGGATTCATTGAGCCTCCACATGAATTTCAGGATGGATTTTTCTTATGTCTGCAAAAAACACTGTTGGGATTTTAAAGGAACTGAATTAAATAAAACTGCCAAATTGTTTTCCAAGTGACTGTACCATTATACATTGCCACCAGCAGTGTATAAAAATTTGTTATTCCACATAATAGCTGCCAATAGTTGGTATGACCACTCTTTCATTCCAGCCATTCTAGTAGGCGTGTAGTGACATCTTGTGTCTTTAGTTTGCATTCCCCCAATGACCAATGATGTTGAGTATCTTTGCATGTGTTTATTTACTGTCTACATATCTTCTTTTGTGAAGCATCTGCTCAAATCTTTTTTCTATTTTTTGAGTTGTTTGCTTTCTTACTATTGAGTTCAAAGAGCTCTTTCTAATGCTGTGGATACATGTCTTTGATCAAATAGATGTTCTGCAAAGATTAGTCTGTGTGGTTTGTCTTCTCACTCTCTTAACACTGTGTTTCAAAGAGCGATAGGTTTTTAATTTTGATGAAGTCCAATTTATGAATATGTTCATTATGGATTTTTCTTTTGGTGTCATATTTATGCAATCATTGCCACAAATTCGAGGTCACTAAGATTTTCTCCTATGTTTTCTTCTATAAATTTGATAGTTTTAGGTTTAATTTTTCCTTTTCATTCCTTCATCTGTATTCAACTTTCTAAAGTAATTTTTGAGTAGTTCCTTCAAGCAGAGCATGGGAAAGGTAAATTCCCCATCTGGAAAGGCCTTTATTAGTGAATGTACCTTCAACTCATACTTCAGCTAAGCAACTTAATAGGCACCTCTCAGCATTCTTGGTACAATATTCTATTGTCTTCTGGCTTCTCCAGCTGCTACAATCAATATTTTTTAATAATCCAATTGTAGTTTTTTATTATAGATAATTCTTTCCCTGAATGGTTTTAAAATAGTATTCTTTCATTTTGTTATGTTTAATAATTATGGACTAAAATTTACTTATACAATTCAGGGCCTGTTTTCCCCAAATCTTTAGATTCATGTCTTTCACAAACATTAGCCATCATTTCTTTGAATTCTGCTCTACTCCTTTATTTCTATTTTCACTTTCTGGAACTCCTCTTAGGCATATAATGAAACTGTTCATTTCATCTTTCATACCTCTTATCCCCTCTTTTACATTTTCTTTGACTCTCTTTCCTTGCTTTCCACAGTTTACTAATTTTCCCTCCCTTCAGTTGGATTTAATCTACTTTTAATCTCATCCATTTAGTTTTTTAAACAAATATTCTAATTTTTATTTAGTATTTTGACAGCTGTTCTGTAATACGCTGTAACTACTAGAGATACTGAAATTATAGTTCAAGTTGCCTTGCTACTTCATCAAATCAAATGTTCATTATTTCTTTTTTTCCTTAGTGACAACTGTTTCTTTTGAACTTTCTATTTTTCCTTTGGTATATGTTTTTGCATTTTTCCAACTCTATTATGAAAATTTTCAAACACGGAAAATGAGAACGATACAATTAACATCCAAATTCTCTCCTCATAGATTCTAACATTTAATATTTATTTTCTCTGACATTTGTTTTCGATCTTATCATTTGAAACTATGTTCTAAATTGATTGATTGAGATAGAAGTCAGAATAGTGGTTACTCTGGAAAATGATGACCGAATTGCAGGGGGCTTGGGAGAACCTCTTCCCAAGCATTAGAAATGGCCTGTATCTTCATCTGCATGGCAGTTACATATGCACAAAATTACATATACATACTCAGCTGTACACCTGAGATTTGTATACTTTACTGTGCCTAAGTTTTATTTAAAAAAAGAAGGTGGACAAAGTTGTAGGTGTCATGACGATTTACCCCTAAATATTAAAAAATGTATTTCCTAAGAATAAAGACATTCTCCTACGTAACTACATTCCTATTATCACACATAGGAAAATTAATAACTCCATAACATATTTAATCAACATTCACCATTTCCCATCGCAAGAATGCCTTTGATAGCTCTTCCCCATCCTAGCCCCAAACTAGGATCACACACTGCAATTGTTTACATCTCTTTAGTCTTGTTTAGTTGTAGAATAATCCCTAATCTTTTTTATCTTCTGTGACCTTGAATCCAGGCCATTTGTCTTATACAATGTCCACATTCTGAATTTATCATTTCCTCATGACACTTAACTTTTTCTTCTATTCCTTGTGTTTCTTGTAAAATGGAAGGTGTGGAAGCTTAACATTCAATAAAATCATCTTTAGCAAGAATACTTCATAGATGGGAACTGTCATCCACTGAGTTTAAAATATTAAGACCACCTAGAAGTCCTATTTGGTTCCTTCTCAGGAATCCTGCTGTTTTTAAGTCTTCTAATGTGCTGATAGGCTCTTTCCTTGTATATTTTATGACATGGGATTTTGAACTTGTCAGTGGGCATTATCTATATGAATTTCATGAGACCTAGATTGGCCAAAGAGGGTTTGCATTTGCTTCTACCCAGTGCCTGAGCGCTATTATCTCTCTAGGACCATTTGTTGCGTTGAAGGTTCCTGGACAGGACCCATAAGTACAAATATGAATCCCACACCATGATGAGAACAGGCTCATAATTAGGAATTCACAAGGGAAGCTTTAAACTTTATCTGGACCACTGGTGAAGACAGACAAGTTTCATTGTTATTTACGTATGCTGAGTAAGTAGATTTTCTTCTAGTTCACCCTTTTGCTGAAGATAAAGCTCCTCAAAGACTCAGCTTTATGCAAGGACCTGAGTTCCAACTACCTTTGTGACACTGGCTGAAGGCCTAGTCTTGCATCCCCACACACTGACACTCACATCTCTTTGTTGCACAAGGTGACAAATTAACTTCACTGGAGGCCACCACAGCCTCCAGGCTATAGCCTCCAAGCAACAGCCTAGTCATCAAACTTTTTCTATGAAAATCTAGCATTGGGGCGCCTGGGTGGCGCAGTCGGTTGAGCGTCCGACTTCAGCCAGGTCACGATCTCGCGGTCCGTGAGTTCGAGCCCCGCGTCGGGCTCTGGGCTGATGGCTCAGAGCCTGGAGCCTGTTTCCGATTCTGTGTCTCCCTCTCTCTCTGCCCCTCCCCCGTTCATGCTCTGTCTCTCTCTGTCCCCAAAATAAATAAAAACGTTGAGGAAAAAAAAAATTAAAAAAAAAAAAAAAAGAAAATCTAGCACTACTACTAATGCTGTGTGAGGGGAAAAAAAATAAAACTACTTTGACTTCAGTTGTATTTGGAAATGAAAAGGTTTTTTATTAACCTCAAAAGTAACCACATGCATTTTTAAAAAGTCGCAATGCATATAGATGCATTATTTAAGGCAATGACAGTACTTGTACTCAAGGATTATAGACCACCCATAAAATTGTGCAGATTTCCATTCTTTAAATGTTACTTACAGAATACTTGTTCCAATGGTAATGCTAATGATCAACAAAAGTTACACAGAGGAAAAATATCAAGCACACTAAAAATCCAACATTTGATAAGTCCAAATAGGGATTTCTCAAGGGCAAAGAACAAAGCTTACCTGACATATGTTAGACAACAAACAAGCTCAAGTCTGGAAATTCTTTTTGATTCTGAACTAGTACTTAGGCTTGAGTCTGGTTCAAGTTTGGCAGATAGGTTAAAATGTCAAATTGGACACTAGACACAATACAATTTGTTCCAGTTAAGGGACACAGACATTGGCACCAATTAATTATGTCTTTTCCACTCCTTTTTGAAATGGATGCTTCCATTTGCATGACCACAGAATATGGAGTGATAACGTATTTCATTTTCAACAACTACTCTTTCTGAAAAACACAAAGAAAAAGCAATGATGATATTAAAAGTTGACTCACCACTGTCCTCTGTTTATTAGGCAGGAAGACTCTAACGATAGGTTTCTGTGGTGACTTGGGATTGCTCCGTGACACATCTGTGGGGTTTTGAAAAACTGAAAGAGATGAAGGTAGCACTGAAAGGCTAGAAGAGGAGGAAGATGTAACGGTGTCCGTTGATGCAGAGCTAGAAACAGAAAAATCAGTTCCATTCCCCAGGGATTCCAATAACTGTTGTTCTCTCTGTTGGAGGGCATCTAGCTTGCTGGTGTATTCTTCATAGGCCTATAAAATAAAGTAAACATACACTGAATCTGGACTTTTTCCTGACAGTAACAAAAGGAAATATGAAATTTAAATCTTTGATTGTAATCTCTTTATAATCTAGCTAATAGGGTTTTAAGTACAAGTTACAAAATAAGTGCTGAAAGTACTATAAATTAATACTTCTACTTTTAAAGTGATCATTTTTTGTGTATGTGATAAGACAGTACATTGCACTGAGAGATCAACAAACATATAAATGTCTAGAATAACCCACGAATGTTAATTATAAAATGTATTTACAATGTTCTGGTCATACTGCAATTTAAAAACAAAAATCTTTTTTAATGTTTACTTATTTTAGAGACAGAGTGCAAGCAAGGGAGGGGCAGAGAGAGAGGGAGACACAGAATCTGAAGCAGAATCTGAGCTGTCAGCTCAGAGCCCGATGCAAGGCTTGAACCCACGAACCGTGAAATCATGACCTGAGCTGAAGTCGGATACTTAACCTACTGAGCCACCCAGGCGCCCCTGGTCATACTGCAATTTAACTTCCAAACTGCATATCCAACATAAGATAAAATACTATACTAAATCAAGGATAAGTACCCTCTCTATTAAAAAAAATTTTTTTGAGGAAATTGTAGGCATATAAAGTTTCATACCTTTCTGCCCTCCAAAGAACAGAAAGAGAAGTTGAAAAGGAGATGCGGGGTTAAAAGAGATTTGTCAAAAAATAAGACTCAGGTACAGGGTCAGATCTCACCATTACCACCAAAATCTTCTCAACAGGGCTTAGAAGTTACATAACTGCCACCTTCTTTCTGAAACAGGTATTAGTTAAAATACTTTATTCTCTTCACTATGGATCTCTGACGATCCCATCAAATACTGCTTAAAGAATAAAATTTTATTTGAAAAGGTGGTTTATGCCCTGCAGTCAAGAAATTCTGGTGCCATTATCCACTAGGGTGGAAACTTCTAGAAGTTTCATTTGATTAAAGCTATAAAGTCAAATGACCACATAAGATATCATATTCTAAAAATAACAAGAATTTTGAAAACAGAGTGATATTGAAAGTAAAGGGATGGAATAAATTGGAATATATATGTCCATGGTTCTTTAGGGCAATGGAAATCACCCTCCCCCACACTATGGTCCACCATTTCTCTCTACCATCATACACAGATGTAATACCACAAACATTTATAAAAGGCTACAAGGGAGAATCAAAGATTTTAAAACTTCTCATCACTCAAGGAGTTTATTATTGGGCTGCAGAGAAGCAGGTGGATGTATTTTAGTATGCTTAAGTGTTATACATGAGAAATAAAGGACATTCTTGATATAAGGTGAGAATGAGGTAGGATTATGTTAGCATTTAGATAGACGGAGTTAAGTGGGGGAGAAGAGAGAGCTGTGTACAGGAGAAATTCTGCAACAAATAGAGAGGTAGGAAACTTTAAGGCATAGAGGGAAAACTACAGACTAGTACAGCTGCATGCAATTCAGTATCTGGGACACAACAAGGGATCAATAGGTGTTTGCGGAATTAAATGAAGAATAGCAATACAGGGAAATACGTAATGCAACTGGAAAAGTGGGTAAGGCACCAGCTTGTAGAGGGTGTCTATACCATGCTATGAAGCCTGAACTTCATTCTATAAGTAAAGGAGAATGATCAAAGATAGAGGAGAATGAAGAAGAAATTTCATTTCAGTAAAGACCACTGACTGCACTTGCTATGCTGGTTCTTAAAATATAATTTTGAAGATGAAAAAAAGGAAAAATAGTAAAATGAGCCATTGGGGTAAAGGGCATAAACTGCATCTAAAAGCCCTCTCCTGGGGTGCCTGGGCAGCTCCGTCGGTTAAGTGTCCAACTTTGGCTCGGGTCATGATCTCATGGTTCGTGGGCTCGAGCCCCGCGTCAGGCTTTGTGCTGACAGCTCAGAGCCTGGAGTCTGCTTCGGATTCTGTGTCTCCCTCTCTCTTTGTCCCTTCCCCGTTCTCGCTCTGTCTGTGTCTCTCTCTCTCTCTCTCTCTCTCTCTCTTTCAAAAGTAAATAAGTATTTAAAAAAAATTTTTAAAAAGCCCTCTCCTTTATAACCTACTAGCTACCCTACCCTGATTCTGGAAATGTTTCATAACATTTTGAGGCATTATAATCAAATCACTTCAAAATTATCTGAACCGTGTTTCGTGTTAGCTTTCAGTTCCAAGAGCTAATTACTTACGGGCATCTCTTTTAATATGATCCATTTATCCAGCCTTTAATCCGTCAATTAGTATATACTGACCATACATATGTCTGGCACTGTTTGGGACTCGAACTAAAAAAATAAAGACTGATGCAATTCCTACCCTAGGAAGATCACATACATGCAGTCTGGGAGATAAAAATTCCCCCTTGCATATATCAAATCTTGTTTACTATCATCTGGACAAGTACACAAAGTAAGCCTTAGGGAAATGGAATGCACTTAAACAATAAATTTTCAGAATGCTATTTCTTTATCAAAATGTTAGTCTTAATTTTTGAAAATATACTGTTCCCTCCATTGTGGATTACAAGCTATTATTTCACTGCACTTATCAATAGCTCTTTCCTTTTATTAAGTACAAAGCAGTTATTCCACCTCTCTCCGTCCTCACAGCTGCAATCAAGGCTCTTGCCTGCCTTTTGTCCCTGGATTGACTCATTTCATCCCACTATCCTTGATGCATTCAGTGTGGATTACTCTTTTAACATTCCTGCCGTAAAGTTCTCTAAACTTATTCCTAAAGGTATTGATTTTCATTCTACCTTCAAGATCCAGGAGTTCCAAATGATGACAAGACCTCAATGTGGAGCTTCCCCTGTCCCTGAACACACCTTCTCAAGTTTCCATCTTACTACATTAATCTGTTTATGATATCAACATTAATCCCTTGAAGTTTCTTAGATTTGGGCCTTGACTGTCTTATTGCCCCTACTTTGCGGCTCACCATTTCAACAATACCACTAGTAACATCTCTGATTCTCTAATTCTTATTCTTTTACCAACTTGTTTGTCAAATACAAATTTGGAGTAAATTCTAACCACTCAATTATTCCATTCTTTCTCTCAGGTTACCATACACTGCTGGAGAAGATAGTAAGGTAGGTCAATTAGTTAAGGTCAGTTAATTAAGTCAAGAAGATAGAAGGAGGTCAATTAGTCCCATTATCAATTTGTGGAAATTAGTCCTTTAGGGTACTACCCGAAAATTTTTAACATCATATTACATTTTTCACAATACTTACTCCAACCTTTTCTATGCTTCTCTGCCTCCTTACCTTCATCACCCAATCTGTAATTTGCTCAGAAAACAGCATTACATTACCTTCAAATTTACTCTGGAGGTCAAAGCCATCAAATAAAAGCTTCCTCTTCTTTCTTTGTCTAAGCAACTCTCCATGCCTTTCCCTATCTCTCTTTTCTTTTAATTTATTTTAGAGAGAGAGTGAGAGAGCACACACGAGTGGGGGAAAGGGGCAGATGGAGAGAGAAAATCTTAACCAGACTCCATGCTCAGTATGGAGCCCAATGTGGGGCTTGATCCCACGAACCCAGTATCATGACCTGCACCAAAATCAACAGTGGGATGCTCAACCGACTGAGCCACCCAGGGGCCCGCCCCATCTCTCTTCTGTTCTCAATTTAGTAATGGCACTGAATGTTTAGGGCCTCTACAGAGGCCTTGGTACACTGTTATCCCCAATTTCCCTTATATCTTCCAATTTTTCCTCTGTTTCCTTACTCAGCAAATATGGACAAGTCCTCCCACAAAAATGCACACCTCAGCCACCACCAGTATCACCAACAAAATTCTTGTGGTTCGTTCTTCCAGATACTACAGATACCAGATACTTCTTCAGGATGAAGCGTTCCCAAAACCTTATTCTTTCGCATCAAAATCCTACTTATTTTTCAAAGTCCAATTCAAAGCTCTGCTTGCTAAAACCCCAAAGAAGTATTCTTTCTCTTCACCTCCTTTAGACTATTATCATGTTCTTCTTTATAGGACTATGTTTTTCTCATTATGAAAAAATTTTGTGAGGATTAAATGAGATAATACAAGTAAAAGAAGTGATTACAGAGGCTACCACATAGCAAAAACCCATAAATATTCTTACTAGCAGGAATAAGTAGTACTAGCAATTCTTGTTATGTTTATTACTGTCATCCTTGTATTACTTAGCTGAGTTCTTAACATGACTCTACTAAACTGTAAACTAGTTGAAGGCACAGATCATGTCGGATGTTTTTGAATAATACAAAAACACTTAATATTATTAAGATGAAAATTTTCCCGAAACTGACCTACAAATTCACTACAATCCTTATCAAAATCCCAATGGCTTTTTTATAGAAATGGGCAAGCTGATGTTAAAATTCATATGGAAGTGTAATGTACTCAGAAAACCAAAATAATCTTGAACAAAGTTGGAGGCTTCACATTTCTTCATTTCAAAAATTACTATAAAGGTACAGTAATCAAGACATTGGAATAAGGATACATGTATAGAACACCACAGAAGACTTGATAATCCAGAAATAAAGCCTTACGTTTACAGCCAACTGATTTTTGACAATGGTGCTGGTACCACTGAATATCTACAGGCAGAAGAATGAAGTTGGAGTACTACCTAAGATTACAATAAAAAAGTAACTCAAAACGGATCATACACCTAAAACTAAGAGCTTAAACTACACAGTTCTTAGCAGAGGGGCGCCTGGGTAGCTCAGTTAGCCACTTAACCACTTAACCAGCGTCTGACTTTGGCTCAGGTCATGATATTGCGGTTGGTGGGTTCAAGTCCCGTGTTGGGCTCTGTGCTGACGGCTCACAGCCTTGAGTCTGCTTCAGATTCTGTGTCTCCCTCTCTCTCTCTGTCCCTACTCCGCTCATGCTCTGTCTCTCTCTGTCAAAAATAAACATTAAACAAATTTTTTAAATTCAAAGTTCTTAGAAGAAAACATAGGAGTAAATCATCA